TAGTGATCCTCAAGGTGGCAAAGGCCCGTGCGATCGCAAAGCAGCCACCATCAAAGCTCATGTTCGTAGATTTGTTAATGAGGGACACGATGTTCAAACTCCAAAGGACCTTGAAACCGCGATGCTATCAGCTGAAGGAGTACCTGGGGTAAGAGTGACACTTGTCGATTCATTAGGTATCAAGGACAGCCCCATAAAATTGGATGGCATCAGCTTGATCAACCACCTACAGTATACTGGTGCGTCAATGCGAGTATGGCGATCCTACAACGTCGGCTGTGGAAAAATCATCGACAAACAGCTACCAACAGGTTGTTATAAATATTTTTTTTATAAGGAAAGATTAAAAATGCAGACTTAGAGTAAGGAAAAAAGCGACACGCGAACACATTAAAATACCTTTTTTTGTTCTCAGTTGCATTCTCTCGTGGCAAAAACTTTCCGTACAATAACGCGAGGACAGATATATTTTAACTCTTACCATCAACATAGCTGTTTTATAATTTCACAGTATGCGCAGACTTTTGCGGATACATTATCGTACGCATCCCACAAGACACTTAAGACAACAACATAATCAGAGCGTGACAAAGTAAGATAAAGACGTAAGTGTGAACCATTTGTCACAATGTTTTCTTTTTTGGTTTCAGCTACAAACAGCTTCTGTGGTAATTTTCAAGAGAAATTTTCAGCCGGCGACTTCTTGGATGTCGGTAAAGAAGGATATCCAGCGTTACCTCTTAAGTCTTCTAAAAATCAAAACTTTTCTGAAGGGCCAGAGGAGGCAGAATTTGATCCAGGTCTTTTCCAATGTCCTAACGAAGGATGTGTTAAAAGTTATCAGAGTTTTTCAGCCCTTGAAAAGCATCTGTCTTTTGGAAAGTGTGAAATGCGTGTAGAAAGAGTCACCCTTCTTGACCAGGCGAGGCAAACGTACCACGCCAAGCTGACAGAAGGAACAAGCAAAGACGTGACAAGCCATTGTGCTGAAGCTTCTGTTCGAGAAAGCGTAGTAAATACCAGTCAAATTGTTAAAGGGTGGGCGTTAAAGCAAACGAAAAAATCAGGACGACTCAGCGAATCACAAAAGGGGTATCTTGACGAAAAGTTTAAAATCAGCCAGAAAACAGGTCACAAACAGGATCCAGCTTCCGTAGCTCACGACATGCGTTACGCCAGAACTGCTGAGGGTGAACGGCTTTTCACCCGCAGTGAATTTCTAACTACGCAGCAAGTTCAGTCGTACTTCTCTCGACAAGCAGGCAAACTGCGCAATCAATCCACAGAGGATGAGAGAAGAGATCATGACGCTGCTGCCGAGCGACAGCAGTACTGGGATACTCGAGAACAAATCCTTCGAGAGCTTCAACTCCAACACCCCATCACCGTCGACAATTTTGACCTATGCGAAATGTATCACGCAAGTTCGCTAAACAAGTTCAGTGTCAACATGTTACAAAGTATTTGCCAATATTTCGGTATGGAACAGCTAACTGTTCGTCGCAAGGCACCATACATTGCCCTTATTGGCGAATTGATCCAGTCATGTACCTGTCATAACAATAGTTAGAAACTGACAAAGTAGGCTCTCTTGAGTAGGTCTTTGGTGTAAAAAATCGTGCTATAGGTATTTGTTGCTAACAAACCCTGTGTCTATCAGTTGACCAGAACTCAGGAAAATTTCATTCCTTCAGAAACCAGGAAGAAAACTATCTTTATTTTTTATTGGTTAAAGGGAACAATCCCTCGCTTGCTTTATTTCATAACAGTGCACAGCATGAAATAACTTCTCCGTGTGGAATGACGTGACCTCCGTCCTTATTTGCATAATACACTAAAAACTGGTTGGCTTGTGGTAGTTTGACAGTTGTTTTGTTTTTAAAACAAGATAAATTCCTCTCACGATTAAATCTATTTGAAAATACTAATTTTGCCATGGACAGTGAAGGCATTGATTCTGCTACGGAACATTTTACAAACATTTTAAATGATATATGCGCCTGTTCTCTCAGATTAGCTTGTACACAAAAGAAACCAAAAAAGCATAAATTATGGTTTGATAAGGACTGTGCCCTTTTAAGGAAAAATTTAAGGGGACTATCTTATGATGAAAGTCTCAGACACGACTATCACAGCATGCGTAAAAACTTTAAGAAATTGGTTAAACACAAAAAAGCAAAATTACTAGATTCTCAAGTTGAGGACCTCATACAAAACAAAGACAGTCAGAAATTCTGGACTTACCTCAAATCTTTAAAAGAAAAACAACGCTCCCCCTCTAACAAAAACGATATTCCGGCTGACAGTCTATTTAGCCATTTTAAACGCTTACATTCGGTTTCAGACCCCCCTTCTTTTTATACAGATCCTGTTTCCTTAAAGGAAGACTTTTCCAGTTTAGAAGAAACGAAAAACATTCACAACTACTTAGATAGCCCTATTTCAATTAATGAAATAGAAACTACGGTCAAATCACTTAAGTCAAGGAAAGCTCCGGGACCTGACAAAATTCGTAATGAAATGTTGAAAGCCGGCGTACAATTCTTGAAAACCGCACCCCAAAAATTATTTAAGCTTATACTCCAAAGTGGTTTTTACCCTAGCTCTTGGTGCGAAGGAATAATAACCCCTATTTATAAATCTGGAAACAAGCAAGACCCGGGAAATTATAGAGGTATATGTATAAATAGTTGTCTCGGAAAGCTTTTCACTTCAGTACTTAATACCAGACTGAAAAATTTTGTAATCGATCAAGACATATTGCATGAAGCTCAAATAGGTTTTTTACCGAATCATCGTACAACTGATCACATATTTACCTTAAGAACACTAATCGATAAATACGTCAATCAAACTACAAAAGGAAAATTATATACCTGCTTTATTGACTTCAAAAAGGCTTTTGATTCGGTTTGGCATGATGGCTTATTCTATAAACTCCTTCGGTACAACATTGGGGGAAAATTTTATGATTTAATAAAGCACCTTTATTCAAAAACTAAATGCTCCATAAAGTTTTCCGATTGTCAACGAACGGAATTCTTTAACTATTGCAAAGGGGTTAGACAAGGTTGTATCCTTTCTCCTATGCTTTTCAACCTATATCTAAATGAAATCCCTTTTTTACTCGACCGACAAGACACAGACCCTATTATTTTACCAAATGGAACTCATCTGAACTGTTTATTTTATGCAGATGATCTTGTTCTAATTTCCCATTCAGCCGAAGGACTTCAAAAAGCGCTTTCTGTGCTCGCTGAATATTGTAACAAATGGTTGCTATCTGTTAATTCAAAGAAAACTAAAGTTCTGATTTTTCAAAAGAAATGTAGAAAATCAGTCCTTAAAGTGCTACTACGATCAAATTTGGGAATTTGTTTTTGATTACATATTTCGAAAATGTATGTAAAAGTGACTTACCGTGCCAAGTTTGGAGTCTAAATATGATCTGGAAGTGTGTTTATTTGCACGGCAATTTTCGTAAATGTCTTGCCGCCATTACTCGATTCAAAAAATGACCGGGAGTAGTATTTGAAGGAGTTGGGGCGAGATGTGACGTAGAAAAATCAACGCGACAAAGCAAGGTAAACAAACATGGCTAATTTCGCATGCAGGACGAGATATTTTGGAAGCTTTTGGAGGTTCTTTCTTCGCTTTTTTGACTTAAAGCGAAAGTATGCCTGGTAGACGTTGTGTTGTTCAGGACTGTGGAAACGTAAAGAACGATGAATTCTCCTGATTCGGGCAGCGTTAGATTAAAGCGGAAAAGGTTCGTGTCCATTCATCGGAAGGATTTCAACACAGTGGGAAAATTTGCTGTGTGCTCGGAGCATTTTACAAGGGATTGTTATACGCTTGCTTTTCCGATGAAAGGCATGAAAAGGAGTTGGAAGAAGGGGACGTTTCCAACCATTTGGAAAAAATCCTCTCAAACACTATCAAAGCGGAGTCGACGATCGGTGAGTGAAATTACAATGTATTTGCGCTGTGCTTATCATATTTATTTCCCCATTTACCTGTGACATGATTTTTTCTGGCATCGTTGTTCAATATGAATGCTCTGACTATTTGGACTTCCCATATTGTTGCATGTGTTTTCATACTTTTCTGCTTTCTTCTCATAGTTATAGTAAAACGGGAATTTGCGCTGAGTGGACGTGAAGTCAATTCCCCAATTCCCAGACCTTTCCACTCAAGCGTAAAATTTAGAAAAAAGTGAAGCTACATAGAAATCCGGCTCTCTATTTTTGAGAGATTATCCTGCTGTTACTTTGAGATTTGACAGTACTCCAAACTTCCCTCCAAGAAATCTTACAGCAAATTAGGAGTTACACGCGAGTCTTTTAAAACGACCAAAAATGGACTTAGTCTGATTTTTACATTCTATAAGTTCAGTTACTGTTTGCGGGTTTTTTTTTCGTTTGTATTTTAATTCTATTTTCACTGTCTGCAAATGATGCATACATTTTATGGCAAAGATGCAGTTAAACCTTGCTTCCATTTCTACTTTTGAAAACATCGACATAAAGCTCAAATTTAAACTTGTTTTGAAGGGGAGATATAAAAAATGGTCCTACCTATTTTCATTTTTAGCTACTAAATGAAATTCTGGCTGGTCAAACTACTAATGAGGATACAGAGGAAGAAGACAATCCTGAAGAAGAGGTGATCTCTCTGAAAGGAAGTTCTGCACCTGAGGAGAGTGCTGACACTATGGGGGCCCCCAATCTCAACCCTGAGGAGTCTCCAGAAGTCGAGGGTGTTCTGAACACAAGTCAGGGTTCTTTGCTTGAGGTAAATCCTGAAAAGGAGGACTGCATCCCTGAGACTGAGACGGGTGAGATAAGTGTTGATGCTAAGATGACTTCAGAGGTCCTAGGTACTCCTGGTGATAAGACAACTCTCGAGAGCCAAGGGATTTCCGGGACAGATGATGTTACTGAGACCATGCAGATCCTGGAGGCTCAGGGAATCGAAAAAGTGCAGAATATGGATAAGTTATGCAGATTGATGAATCATTAGCGATTCCTGAACTTGAACAGGTTTCTATGGTAGGCGCATAACTCTAATTAATGTTTATTTGCATCTTTGTATTATCATAACAATGGAAAACTACATGTGCAGTTATTTTACAACAATACTAAAACACAAAAATTCTGAAGTCTTGTTATTACAGCCTGTATTAATGTTGAAAGTTTGTTTTTTGTAGGATACTCCAACTGGACATGCTGGGAACTGCACAACATGCAAAACCCTGAGGAGTGAGGTGACTCAGTTAAGGGGCAAAGTCACAAGACTGAAGAGTAAGTTAATCTCCAATCAAGATCAGTGGGTTGAAACCTTTAAGAGCATACAAGAGCCGAAGCAGTTGCCGATGGTGAATGCTGGTGAGTCAACAATAATTATTGATGTTGATGAGTCATATAGGCATAACTGCCTATCTTTATATTTTTATTACATTTTATCAATGTTTGATTATTTAATAATAATTAAAATTTTAATGGTAATAGAATTTTTTTAATTCCATTTGTTTAAGCTATTCAAACTGATCCATGGCCAGTAACAAATGAGACAGAGTTAGGGCTAGAGGATGAATCAGAAGATGAGCAGGAAATGCAGGACGACGCGTATGAGGAGTTTGAGTGTGATGGAGACCCTACATGGAGTCCTGAAGGAATCGAAGATGCATATAAAAAAAAAAAGGAAGATGATGAATCGGTGAAGACTCATCAGAACCCAAGGTACAAAGATGCAAAATTTATTGCATTTTAACATCTTAGCTCTAAGCATCCTCTGGGAAGTGATTTAGGCCTAAAACTAACTTCCATTATGAGAGGATCTATTTAGAAACAAGAGTACATGAAATTTGTTTTTAATTTACTCAGATAAGAATTGCAAAAAAAAAAAAAAAAAAAAAAAGAAGAAGAGGCATAGCCAGCCCATAGACTGGAAGTCCCAGGCCTAAAAATGTTTGGTTTGTCCACTCAACCCCTTGTAATAAATTATGCATCGTTGGGGTGGGCTAGATAGCTTAAGGGCTCAAAGTTGTCATGTGTGCAATCAACAGAATTATTATAAAAAAGCATTTTTCAGGATGTATGTGAGAGTAAAATCCCAACCCACGATTAGCCAGGTTTACAACAAGTTGAAAAACTGGCAACACCCTGAGAAAAACAATAAAAATGATAATCATTTTTTTTATTGTTATTTTATTATTTCAGATGCTATGATTAAATGAGTATTTCCTTTCCATCATTTTTTACAGGTTGGATCTACAAGGAAAAAACATTCGAGAGGAACCAAAGGGAATTGTTTTCCTTTCCAAACTTCTTCTTTTGTTTCAGTTCTGCCACTTGTGCTTCTTTTCAAAACCCAAACTTTCTGTATCACAGACAGGTACCTTGTTAACCGTAGAAAGTTTCTGCAGAAACTGTAGCCAGACAAAAGTCTGGAAGAGTCAAACAGACCTGCTAGGAAAGTTTCCAGCAGGTAACCTGCTATTAAGTTTTGCAGTGCTCTGTGAGCCGAGTGAAAAGAAAGAAACGATACATTAAAACTGTAATTAAATTCAGGCTGAATTCGATTTAATTTTTATTACTTGTGTACATGAAAATTGGAGCAACATCAGAATTCCCAGCCACTAAACTTGAGTTTAACTGAACGCTAGAAGAACAGGGCTTCACACAGTGGGCAAGTTTGTCATTCAACAAAAAGCAAGTAAGTGGCTGAGAATTCTGAAGTTTGGCCCATAAAATTAAGTGTTTACGGACAAGTATTCACGCAACTACTGTAGGTCCTTCTTGGCCCCAATGGCATACATGACACTCTTCAAGAACAAACAGTGCATTTATTATTCATTTTCTTCATCTTCAAATCCACGATAATGGCCATTTTGACTCGGAAATTGTTTCCTGATTTTATTGTAGGCACAACAGGGTAAGGGGTATCGCCTGGAACTACCAATATAACTCCACAGCAGTCTTGTAAATTGGCGATAGGCCACAGACCTCAGAAATCTAGTTAGAGAAATGAGATCACTGTTAATTCAAGGAGGGATTGGATGGAGATAAATAAATACTCCTTTTAAAAATAAGCAGTTGGGGCAATAAAGCCATTTAGAAAATAAAAAATGTGATTCTATGAGATCAGTCCACGGCGATAAGCTTAGATGTATCAATTATTCAATGCTATGTACGGTTCGATCGTTCCGATACAAAGTCAACAATACCCCAACTTACTCATTATCACTTTTGTTGCTTTGCCCACGAACAGTTGTGTACGACTTTCCAGCTCGCGTTTTTAGGCCCAGTGCAGCCACTTCTAATACGTGGCGGTTTAAGCAGACGCTTTCAAACCCTGGATGGAGGGTTATGTATAAGGTCCGGTCTCCAATGGCTTCTTCCATGACCTCTTCGCAGCGATCGATCTCTTTCCACAAATGCACCCCTGCGCTTTTGTAACAAGGCTGACAGAGCAGTTCGAGCACGAACACCTGCAAAATGATGTGAAAAATTCGTCAAACACAAGAAAAATTCGTCTGTATAAAATTATTAATTGTCTGACCTCTTCAATAAAACTATCGTATAAAATCAGGACTACAGTTAATCACATAGCAACGAAATTGTAAACTTAAACAAAAGACACAGTCGCGTTCCTCACGCGCACGATTTAACGACGGGTATGTTGAAATTGGAAAATAAAAATATAAATCTACATTCCATGATAATACCATACCATTCATTCGCTGGCACCTCTCCCAAATATCTTCGCTGAAACTGTTGTTCCTCTTCTTCTTCGCGATGAACTCTTTCGTTGTAGCAGGTTGTAGTCCGCGGCTTCTTCCTCGGTAGCAAGGGGTTCGCAACTGTCGTCGTACGGCGCAAATTCAGACAATTCCCCCATTACTTCGTTAACTATAAAACGTTCTAGATCACTTTCAGATGTGCAGGAAGAGGAATCCGACGGAGATGACATCTTAAACGTCTTGTTAAAAGGCTCTAAACTCACAAACTTTTCCCAAATGCGAATCTTTTGGTTGATGTTTCTACGTCACAGTGCATAAATCACGTGGTCAAACGCACGACCGCTTTGCCGAGATCTCGCGGGCTATTGCTTTGCGAACTTTGTAATGGCGGACGGTACTTACGCACTTTTCAGTGGGAAATTTCCAGCCCCCGTACGCAAGTATCGTTCCAATTTTTCGCTATTTGTATAATTTTGAACATATACAAAAGATTTATGTTAAAAAAACTCGGAAACAAAAACAAAAATTTTCGTCGTAGTAGCCAACCTCGTCCCCAGGGCTTTTCCCTTAAAAAATGGGTGGGGCGGGAAAAGGCCCTGGCATCGGCTGGTCACGTGTCCCCTCGTACACCCTAAAATCCTGGGTGTAATAAATTAGCGCTTTGTGAAAAGCTAAAATTATGCGTAACCTCACAGCGTGCGATCTTGGGCGGCCTTTTATATCTCTTGACGATTAACGAAAAGTTTTACAAGATTTCTTTTTTGTCACAGATACTGGCTATGGTAATTTTTTGCTTTCCTCCGATTTCTATGAAGGGGAGAGCGAGCGGTAACATTTGTAAAACTTCCTTTATAGAGCGATATAAATGACAAACAAGCTATCGTACATGCTTAAAGTTTGTACTGGAAAAGTCCGTTTTCTCGACTCTTTTGATATTTTATTTTATTTCTTGCGAAGTGGACCGCCGTACACAACCTAGTTCTATTCACCTTAACTCTCAGCCATATCATAGCGTCACGCGTTGGTTTAGACTTATCTTGTATGACCTGTATTTTTAAAAATTCATTGACCTCTGCGAGACTTGACCGAAACCGGAAACCGGGCATGAAAAGTTTCTGGCACCCAGGGTATCAAACGACTGGTAACAAAGAAAGACTTGGGTCCATTTAAAATTGACAGAGCTGTAGTTGATTCCAATCGATCGGTCAATCTTCCCTTTGATATAAGGAAAATCCTTTGTACTTATCCTCGGAAGAGAAAAGATATAAGAGATTTTAAAAAATGTTTCAGATCGGCGACCTGTCATCGTTCCTGGCTGGAGGGCTGACTTGCATCCGGCGCGGAGATTTGTTTGTTTCATGGTCGGGTTGTAGAGAAGACCAGACTCCATAAAGTATTTTGATGAACAATTCTAAGTCCAATTTGTTTAAATTCACTGCAGATCCTAGAGGCAAAGGCCCGCATTTTTGTTTGACATTGGACAAAATCACTTTCTGCTTGATCAAGTAATTCCACAGTCACGATGAATTTCAGTCGAAGTACTACTCGATAACAGCTTGTCTCAACTCTGAAGCATTTGACATATTTTGTACGTGACAACGTAGAGCCGGTACTTGTAGCATTTGAATAATACGCAATTGAATGGATCTTAAGCTTTTGAATCGCACAGACGCGAAAATATTGACATACAGTTCGCGATATTATTATTTTCCATTGTTGCTCCGTTCGACTTCTGTCAGCGCAAAACCAGCGGGTTGCATATAAATTAGCTTCTTAAGAATATTTAGGCTGTGCACGTGACCAGCCGATGCCAGGGCCTTTTCCCGCCCCACCCATTTTTTAAGGGAAAAGCCCTGGGGACGAGGTTGCGTAGTAGCACTTTAACAAATATTGTTTTCAGATAAACAATGACAAAATAGAAATTGTTAACAATTATACATACCTCGGAATCAATTTAGCTACAAATGGGAACTTCAATGTGTGTAAAATAAACTTAAAAGAAAAAACACGACGATCGTTTTTTGCGATACGACGCTACCTTGATTTCTTGAAACTACCAATTGACATAACCAATAAACTCATTAATTCGCTTTTCCTCCCCATTCTTTTATATGGATCTGAAATCTGGGGCATATATACTAAAGATGATTTTAACGCCTGGGAAAAAGACATAATTGAAAAAACGCATATATATTTTTGCAAACAGTCCTTAGGCGTAAATAAACAATGTCCAAACGTCGCTGCTAGAAATGAACTCGGTAGATTACCGCTGAAATTAACTATAGATACCTCAATTATTAAATTTTGGATTCATTTACAAAATATGCCAGATAAAAACATAGCAAAACAATGTCTACAACTCTCCCAGGAAATGGCCGATAACAACCAGCCAGGTTTGATGCAGAAAATAAAAACTATCTGTAGCAAGTACAACGCAACCGCCATAACATTGAATGAAAACAACGAAAAAGTCTTCACCTCTTACATCAAGCAAAACATCAATAATGCTCTAACTGAGCATCAACTTACCCTCCTTAAAACAAATAGAAAATTGAATTTTTATACTACCTTTAAGAACGATAATAAAAAAGCAGAATTCTTAAATATGATTAAAAACCCACTTCACAAAACAGCACTCAATAAATTTCGACTAGGAAATCATCGATTACATATTGAAACAGGCAGACACACAGTACCTAAAACTCCCGAAAATTTAAGAATATGTTATCTATGTCAGACAAATGAAGTTGAAAATGAACTTCATTTTCTATTCTTCTGCAAACTTTATGACAATTTACGTTTAAAATTCTTCAGTGAAATATCTGATAGATATACACTTTTCAAGGACTTAGATGTGACTTCAAAACTTTTATTTCTCTTTAATAGTATAGATCCCTCTGTTTGTAGATCAATTGCTGCTTTTGTTTTTGAATGTATGCGTTACAGACATGATATGTTATTTCAGAAAAGAATATAATCTTTTTATTTTGCTATATATTTATAAATGATATATTTGTACTTTATTCATAAATATTAGATAGGTAATGCCATGTATAGATATGGAAATACCTTAATAAATTGTTGTTGTTGTTGTTGTTGTTTTGCAATTGTCCCGTCCCGACAAGTTGAAGTGCAATGCGCTCGAGCTATAGTTTCAAATTCTCCAATCATTTCCCTCTGAAGTCATTCCAAGGAATCTTCTGTGAAGCTTTATTAAATCTGATACTGGAACGTATCAGTCTTAGGAGGGTAAGATCGGATTAAATATTGTTTAGGCATGCATTGATTCGCTCACTTCGCTGATTTTATCGGTCATGCAACGAACAGATGTTTTGCGTCTTATTGGAATTTAAACCACATCATGGGCTTTTAACACTTAATAATTTAACATATCTCTCATCTATACATATTTCGGATCAATATTGTTTTAAAAAGGTTCAAAATAACCAAATGGCCAAAAGGGTTTGCCGCCTACCGTAATTCGCAGTTGCTTGGATTCGAGTCAGAGGTCATATTTTTAAGTGTAATATTTACATTTTACCCTGCTTTGTCAAAGCTCGTGATTTCATTTACCCAAAAATTTTATTTCGCTAATTTGAAGAAAAAAGAATGCTCTTTCAGACTAGGCAAGAATTGTTAGTTAAAGCCATGTACCAATACGCTTTTTTTGCTCTTGAAAATGTGCTAAATTTTGACCGTTTGAAAAGCGATTTTGAGTCAACAACTTTGAAAATTTGTTTAAAAATCTATTGTTGACTAAATCGCGATCTTATTAGTTCTAGTTATAGAGGAAATGAAGTAAAGATATGA